GAAACATCCTCAAAAAGTTGTAAGTCTAACCATTCATTTATATCATAATATTACTTACACCCACAATTTTGTAGCACCCCTGATGATGGAAACAATTTATTACATTTCCGAAAGCTTGGACAAATCATTAATGGTTTCCTTGATTACTTTGTCCAAATAATCAAATTTTTTGAAAACCCTTTACAGATATATCTTCTTTTTGTATAGCTCCATCAAAATATCTAATAGGATGATGTCAGGAAACATAGCGGGCTAAGACACCTCCGAATACTTTCTCTCCCCTGAAATAGATTCTGCAGGTACTCATGAACTTCTCTGGTACTTTTTTCATCTCATTGATAACATGTCTTTAGTCTATCAAAGTTCGCAAAAATTGTATATATTCCGAATTCCACACCATACATTGGTTATGAATGAATATTGATCACAAAATCCAAACCTTTTCTCAAGATCCCCTGGTTTCAAAATATAGATGAATTTGAGTTTGTAAGGATGAAAATAATTAAATTTCAATATTGCTACCTTACTTACATTATTTCGCAATACAGCTGCTCTTTTCCAAAAGGAGTGTTTTTTTATTTTCCACTGCTGATTGCAGTTCATAATTCTGCATTTTTCATTGGATTTATGTTTCTTCTTGATGATGTTTCTTTTGAATTCGCTAATTATTTCACCTACTAATGTGAAATGTATAAGTTTATTATAGTATGTGTTGTTGAAAATATGGACCTTCCTGTATGTTTTATCTTTGAAGGGGTGAGTGGAAAGAGAAGTTATGTAACATTCTTGGTTTTGAGAGAAATGAAACTAAAATTTCAATATTTGCAGCTTTATTTACATAAACATTAAAGGTTCAATTATTCGCAATATTATTGTGTACATAAATTCAAACAACACTTTATTTTGATATTTTCACTCAACGGGAAAATTATTTTGTAGTATAACGCGTACCGCGGTTTTGTAAACTGTTGAGTGAAGATCCCACAATAGTGTTCGAGAGTTGGCCACTTCAACACATACTGTATAATAGAGGGCAATATTCAAACTATACATACATCCTTCTTCCTACAAAAATGTTATGTAACCCTTTCACCCGCTCACATCTTCAATTGGAAGAAGATAGAGTGGAAATGTTTTATGGAACTTCAGGGAAGAAGAAAATATCATGCAAAAATGAAATAAAACAATAACTGTAGGAGCCTATTTATGGTTTCTAGAAAATGACAACACAAAATACAGAGTTGATCACGCATCTCTGCCTTCAAAACAATTTTAAGAAGAGTTCGCTTTGAAAGTTCTACCTTGTGAAATATGCATTGATGAGAAAAATTTTATTTTTCGGTTAGAATGGTTTTATTAACAGGAGTCTAAAGTTAACAAAGTGAAATGGCCAAAAACAATCTAGAAAGGACATCCATTAGAAGCAATTGAAAAAAAAACATAAAATTTGCTTCTTCAGATGAAAATCACAGATGTTGCTGTTGCACAATAGTTAAGATTACCTAATCCAAAACTAACTTTACATCACACACGTGCGTCGAACTATTTCATTGTTTGAGCTCCCTTATGAATGTTAGTTCAAAATATTGAAAGCGACGACTCATTTGGGATGAATAAAATGGTGTAAAATTTTAAAAATATTCATAACGAATGAATTCATTTTTCAAGGTAATTGGATCTTTTGAATACGTTCAAAATTTTGATACTCATTTGCAGAAAATAATATATTTATAATCTTCGGTTTCGTATCTCAAAAGAATGAAAATATTGAAAGACACCGATATGTATTTTATTCATTAGTAATTATTATAACTCCAAAATTTCAAAATGTCAGTAAATTGTGAATATTATTTATCAATAGTAATTAAGGGCCAGAATTTTATCATTTCACGAACTTTTATAAACGGGTCGAAGCAGCCAGAACATTTTCACCTCCGCTATTCCTTCTAATATCACCGTTTCTATTTGTTACGACCAGAATAGTGATAAGTTCATAAAAAATCCGTTCGTGAGTGGATAGGGTCCTACATGTTTCATTTGTATCAATATCGACAAAAAAATCACACCACATTTGAACATAAGTGTAAAGCGGCCGCTAACTTCACACCCCAAGCAAAGTTAGTCTGCTTATCTTTTGAGCGAACCATTATCTTTACAGATAACGATATTTAGTACATCTCAAAATATTCAATAAGTTCATATTTTCCATACCATGACAGTGATAAATTCAAAATAAATATTAATATATTTTCAACATTCAATTATGAGGAACCAACAGACGATTCAGCAATAATCTATTTAGCCAATGTAATTAATTACTTCCACGATAAAATATTTGCTGGCGAGGGCGAATACCTACCTAATATGGGAATGTAAAAGTTTAAGTATTATGTTAATTACAATGAATGAATATATTTATAAGTTTGAATACAAATAGTGCACTACTAAGATTTTTTTTCATTCGTCTCTAGTAGTGATCCTATTGAATGATTTATTTTGTAGTTCAAATTTTTTTCAAATATATTGCTTCGGATGATTTATGTGATTACTCCAATGTCAATATTGAAAACCTCGTAAAATATAAACAATCAATAAAACAATGGCTAAACGTATGTCGAACGCCGTGTTCTGTATGTGTAGGCATGATGTCATTTTTATATATGGAATTACCGATTTTATCGATATAAATGTGTATACATGATCAAGTAATATTGTCAATGGCAATTATTAATGATTTCTATTCCGTTATTGTTCGGGTATTCGTAAAGAATGAAGTTGCTTTCAAAAATGAACGAACGTATCATAACCTGTTTAATATGTAAATCGTATTCTATAAATAGCAGATGAGGCTGAAACTTGTTCTGTGACTATGTGACAAATTCAACACTGCTAGATGGGTAGCTGGGAAAATGAAGGTTTTAGTTTACGAAAATCGTGAAAAGGAATTGCTCATTTTGTTAGGGTGTTCTCGCTAACCATTAATAAATGTTTTTAACAGTACAAATATACAAAAAAAGTATCTAAATATAAAAATAAAACAGAAATTTACAAAAAAGTGCCATATTATACTTTTAATATATAATGTTGGCAGATAAGGAGGACCAGTGTGGAAAAATTGAAAATCGTAAGATATACTAAGTTGGTTTAATTAGAAAAAAAATGCCCATTTTAGGGTTCATTTGAAAAGAATCGAAATTCGCCCGTCTAGTTTTGATTTTTTCTCGACGTTTATCAAAAAACAAAGTCACTTCCTCATTTTCAATTTTCAAGCTGTATGAGATGATGATTAGGGATCTTCAACCCGACGTTTCGTCTCCGAGAAACCACCACCAATTATACTTTTCAATATGAACCGGAAGAAGATTCACCAGTTATGAATTAAGATTCACCAGTTATGAATTACCCGTTTTGCCAACATTTTCTGGCTCTCCTTATCTTGGATACATTGTGTTCTATTCTATCTATATTTATGGGGGTCATTTTATACTACATACTTTTTTTAGACTAACCATCACTTGACTTCGGCTAGTAACGTGATCGATAGATAACCTTTTTGAATGGAAACGTTGGTCTTGTGATTACATCGTTGGAGAGTAAAAAAATCTGTGGCACATATCAATTATTTATCAATCCGAAATAGGACAAGACTTAATTTTTTATTGGAATATACTTCATAATGAAATTAGCCTCTATTTCAATATTAATTGAGCAAATGCTCAAAGTGAGAACCAAGTACTTATAAGCCTATTATTTAAAAAGAATTTCTCACTTTACTCTCATTTTTTATGTAATGGATCTTATAGCTTAACTTATGCGTATATTCAATTTATCTATTTTAGTTTGGCACGCTTCATTTCTCACATGTCTTCACAAGAAAAAGTCCAATAGTGTAGGAACCGGTGATCTCTCTGGTCATTTGACCGCTCTGTTTCTACCAATCAATCTATTTGAGAAAGTTATATTCAATTATTGTCGGACGTTCACTTCAAAATGGACGGTTGCACTATTTTGTTGAAATCATGTCAATTCCTCTAGTAAATGAGAATGTATTCTGCCGGAAAATAAGTCCATCAAAGATTGAATCAACTAATTTTGTAACAAGTCAAGATAATTTGCCTCATTTACATTTCTCTTAAAAAAATGGGCCCACAACAGTTCTTATTATACCAGCCCAGAAATTAATTTCTTATAGTTTCTTGGTGTGGAGTTCCCTCGTCGAATGATTTTTTTTTCACCCAGTACCGACAATTTTGGCGGTACACGTTTCTTTTGGAGTATATGTTGACTAATCGAAAAACAAAATATTTTCTATTCTAATTGAATTGGTCAACTTCAAAGAACTCAATCTGTCGATCCATGTATTGCTCAGTCAACTCTTGTAGGACTGTAAAATCATCTTTAAAATTAAAGATGATCACTTGGTGATCGAAACACGTGTCGAGGTGTTAAAAATAACAATTTGGTGTTGGGAAAAAACTCCAGTAATATTCATTAGGTTAGTTTATCACTTCGGTAGGGCGTCCCGAAAACATTAAAGGTTCAATTATTCGCAATATTATTAAAGACGATTGTGGATACTAACAAGATTCTTTCAGGTATTTCAATTCAATTTATATCATATAAGACAATGTTTTTTATTCATCGTTAGGTACATCTTCATTTTTTTATAGGGATATTTCTTGAATTAAAACATATGCATTGCTCAAAAATCTGTAAGTCTAGGAATATTTTCATTAAAATGATTTCCAAAAACTATTGTTATCACGATTAGTTTTTCAACAACAATACTGTATTCGTTCAAGACACGCTTCAATAAGATTCATTCAGCTGACTTAGAAATGTTTAAAATAATATCTGCTTTTTTATCACTTCATAGCCAGAGCAACCCAGAAAAAGTAAGCTTAGTAGATCAGTACAAGATTTCACAAAGCAAACCACTTGTGTATTAGCTCCCTGCATCCCAAACTTCGCCTTAACATCCTTTATTTATCTACTTACAGCAGGAGACTCTGACGCAGCTGTGGAACTCCGAGAAGAGAAGTACGAAATTCATATTGAACGTTCTCAAAGCGGATTGGGCCTTTCTATAGCGGGCGGCCACGGATCAACTCCCTTCAAAGGCGATGACGAAGGGATATTCATATCTCGAATCACTGAGAACGGCCCCGCGGATCTAGCCGGTCTCAAAGTCGGCGATAAAGTAATCACAGTTAATGGCGTAAACGTTACTTCTGTGAGTCACTACGACGCAGTAGAAGTGTTGAAGGCTTCAGGCGCCGTGTTGATCCTTGAGGTTACACGAGAAGTCACCAGACTAGTTCGCCCTCCGAATAATGTAATACCGAAAACCGCCTCGGTAGTGAATTGTATCAACAGAAGTGAATCTCCGGCCAATACCTCCATCAAGCATATCACTCCTCCACCGTTACCCCCTCCGTTAGAGGACGACATCGCTTTCCAGAAAGTCCTAATCCACACTACGTTGATTAGGGACTCTAGAGGACTGGGTTTCAGTATTGCTGGAGGAAAAGGGTCGCAACCGTTTAAGGCCGATTCTGATGCAATTTATATTTCTCGAATCACTGATGGAGGAGTTGCAGATAAGGATGGCAAACTTGCCGTCGGCGACAGAGTAGTGTCTATAAACGGTGTTGATCTCACAGGAGTTCTTCATGAACAAGCTGTGAGTATGCTTACTGGGTTAGAGAGATTCGTCAGGTTGACTGTTGAAAGGGAAATGCCTGTGGAGAAAATCGACGCTAGTCCTAATCCCAGTCCGGGTCCTCAACAGTCACCAAGACTATTTGGGTTACCGAAGCCCTACACGGGATTGTATGCAGCCAACAGCTATATAGCCAATCGACCCGGATATAGTGGATATAGAAGATCGATGGAAATCGACAAGAAGGTTAGTGTTTACGAATTTTTTCAGGAATAATTTTTAATTGCATTCTCAACATTTTACGATTCAAATTAATTGTTTGGAATCTATAAGGCTACTAAATTAGGAATGTCCGACACGGAAGGAACTAGCAAATAATGATGAACAACTTTTGAGATATCGCCTGAAACATATTGATAAATAATGGTTTTTGTATTGATATCCTACTGATAAAAATAACCATAATTTTGTTATTGTGAATGGTGATTTTAGTATATATTTCAACTTCCAAAAATTGATATTTTTATTTTCAATAAAAACAGTTTTTAACATAACACATATGTTTTTCACATCACTACGTTGAAACTGTTAGAATGAATTTCATTACATTGACAGTAAAATTACAAAACTCTCCCCCAATCTAAGCAGACACACAAGAACAATTTCCAGAAAAGAAAAACTAGCAACGTATGCGTGGCTAGTTTTTCTTGCTATTGCTATCACTACATTTTTAGCAAGTTTTGTATGTAATGATGCCGAGAATGATGCACCGAATACATATTACTCTAATCATTTTAAAGTAGTGAAGGAGAATAACGAAAAAAAAAGAAAATATTTGCTGTTATCTCAATAATATCGCAAGATTATTATTGACTTTTTCGATGAAATATTATAAGTGACAGACAAAAAGATTTAAGGTTTTAAAAGAATTTGAGGTAAGATAAGATAAGATCTTTATTTTCCAGTAGAGAACATATATGAATAGTCAAAGTACAACTCAAATGTACTGCCTCAAATGTAATTTGTCTTGAACAAATTTATTTACAACAATATTTCACTTATCACAAACTAATTTATTCATTACAACACTTAGCAACTAACGTTCAATGTATTTTCACTATTTGAATTTCCTGTTAAGCCGCTCGATTCACTTTCTGAACTGCCCTCTTGGGTCGGGAAGACGGGCTTATATCGGTAACAGTCCTTTCTAGAAATCTGTAGTCGGTTCGGTACTACAATCTTACCGGCGATTCCCGACTGCATTCTTTCGCGGTGATGTCATGGGCTTGTTCCATGAGTCGGCCGGCGTACTGGTTAGGGGCGGCTTCAGATTCATTAGAGTAGATAAAAAATAGAAATGTAATTGAAAAAGTTTGAAATTCAGAACATACAAGTGAAAGACTTCAGATTCAGAATTCATAGTCTGGACCAATGCTTCTGAAAATAGTTTACAATGTACCAAGTAATGAAATATTCAAAAAATTCAAAAACAGGACAATACAGTTTCATAACATAAAGTCTTCAACACTATACATTTTTCCAGTAAATATTCACGTATTTGCTTATTGATTTGTACTTTTACTTTCTTTAATATAGCCTGTCAATTTATTGAATACTCTGGGTGTCATAGATAGAGGAGAGTTGAAAAATACACAGTATTCATTGGAAAGTATATCAAGGTGATTTTTAGATCTGGTATTGTGTTGATGTACGTTCTCGTTGGTACTGAATATAGTCTTTATTCTCGAATAAGTATACAGAGAGTTCAGAAATGACTAACGAAGGAACTGTTAAAATTTTATAGTTCTGAAAAACATTTCTGCAACTTGTACGGACTGAGAAGCGCAGTCACGCAGTGACCACTGAACACACTTTTGAACAATGAATACAGTTGAGCCCCATAGACATATACCATATCCCAATCTACTGTCAACTTGTGCATAATACAACGCAAAAAGTTGATTAATGCTTATTACCTTCCTATGATATGATAATGAATACATTTTGGAAATCAGTGACTGAGAGTGATTTTTCCAGTTCAGGCATAATTTGTTACACAATAATATCACTGGAAAGATTTGGTGTGTAGAAGAGCCATCTGAGCTGAATGTAATTTCTTCACATGATTTTTGACGGTTATGAAACCTCATTGATTTTGTTTTTTCCACATTTAGGAACAGCTATGAAGTATATGTACTCTATGAAAACGATGTTATATTTATCCGTCAAGGCAACATTGGATTTATCTGATATGATTACAGACGTATCATCTGCATATAGAGTGAGTGATGCTGGTATCGATAAATTACTCAAATCATTTATATATATAGGATAAACAATACTGGGCCTAAAACTAAGCCCTGCGGCACACCAAGATCAATATCTCTTATTCCCGAATTATGATTGTTGATTGTAACATATTGTTTGCTTGATCTCAAATAGTTCGATATCCATTAGGGGATGAAAGAAATAAAAACAGATTTTTTTTCATTGTCTTGGTTACTATTAGATACTCGTTAGATTTAGTACTCGAAATATGTTTTTAAAATGAAGCACAATTGTCGATAAATTTTGAAAGAGATATTTCAAATAACAAATATTTATATCGGATCGTTCTGTACAGACAGAAAAAAAAATTCCATTTCTTCAACATCTGAAAAAAATATTGCTGCCAGTGGAAAAAAATATCTCGAAAAAAAACCTGAAGAATGATGGAGGAAAGAAACACTCGGGTCGTTGTGTCAGGATGGCAGAAAGAATTATTCAATTCCTTGTACTATGAAATTCGAAAAATAAGGAAGTTACGACGAAACAAAAAATAGTAAGGGAAAGGCAATAAGAGATAACGTGATAAACGCGTATCGGATCGTATTTAACTCCTGTCGAGATGACAGAAAAAGTTGTTTGATTCTTTGTACAATGAACACTCAAAAAAAAGGCTCTGCTACGAAACAAAAAATAGTGAGAAAGGCGTAGTATTTATATATTTACTCAGATTACGCTACGCTCAACGATTTTTGTTTATCTGATCAATACCGTAGATTGCTGAGGAATCTGGTGTGATGACTGCTACCTAGGATCTTCTGAATAATTTTTTTGTTTTTTAGTACATTATCTTCATAATTTTTCTTCAATGAAGCCGTTCAGCACAAAAAACTTTTTTTTTACTTATTTTATTCTCAAGTTTTCAGTTTTCAATTTTTATCCACCCTAACGCCACATATTCCTCGACACGATACAAAATCTTGACATTGATGGGAGAATCCATCCTTGTATTCCGATTCAGAGTTGATAAAGTTTTTTTGTACATATTATATTGGATTTGCCTTTCTTTCACAGTTTACTACAATACTATAGTACTAGTCAAGCCCTGTCATATTGAGGTAGTTGTAAAAAAAAAATTGTAATCAGTGATTTTGTAGCTGCGGCCATCTTGGATTTATAATGATACAGAATTCATCAAATTCTATTGTCATCAAAACTAAATGTGTTATCAGATCAATCTGTCAACATGAAAAGGGGGTCAAACTTCAATTACTGAATTTGACCCAAACAAATAAATGAACAAACACACAAACAGGGCAAGCGAAATATTCGGCTGTGTTATTTGAAAAACTTAAAAATACAAAAAATTGATAATGAATTTGAATTTTAAAAATATAACAACGCTATTTGTTAAATAAAAATAAAATAAAGAATAAAATGTGCAAAAAATTAAAATGAACGAAAGACCAAAAACTTTGTATTTCCAGATACTGCTTGTTACCGGAATGTTATTCTTAATTTTTCGTAATCAACTGAAATGAAATCGATGACTTTTCTTTTCGAAAATTCTTTTCATTTTTCACGGGATAAATAAGTTTTTTCTGAAAAAAATTAAATCGACCAATGACCGCGAAATAACTTTAGTCATTATCATTAGTCAAAATAACTAATGAAAAATGATAAACATAATGATGTAGAAAATGGGCCCGTGGTATGTGAGAGAAGTACTTCTGTTGAATATAACAACCAAAATCAAACAAATGAATTTGCCCATATTTATTTGAAGCGAGAATAAAAATGTGATAATTTACTCACATACTGTTTTTGTTGTAGTGTGATATAGTTTGAGAAATGATTTAAATTTACCAAGAAAACGGGGAAAATGTTTATTATTATTTATGAAAATTGAAAATCAAAAGGCTGGACATACTTGTGTCGAAATTATTTTCGGGTTTATTGGACGTGGCGTTTCGTCTACAGCTGCGGTAGACGTTATCAATGACGATGAGACAACGAACGATCCATATAACGTCTTTTTGCTTTTCCTTCAAGCTTATTTTAAAATATTGTGACATATTTATGAAACACATAAAAATAATTAATATGAAATGTTTCAAAAATTATATTCATGAAATCATCTAATTTTAATTTATTATCATTACTTCATGAGTAAATAGTGAACTGGATTCATGTTCGAAATAAAATAATAGTCACTTCCTGCCGAACCGCATTCGATATCCAGCAGTCGATATCCTGTTACAAGTACAGGAAGAGATAAATCTAGTTTTTAATCGTTTAATTATAACCGTTTGAAATACTTTCAATTGATTCGTTTCAATAAAGCATAACTAATGACTATTTCTGTACGGTAGTTCTTGCCGTAGGCTCTGGCGCTGATTTCTCTTGCAACAATCAGAATACATGTATACAATAAAAATAATAGAAGAATTCCCCAATTATTATTATTGTCGATCTAGACTAATTTTATTATAATATTATTGATTACATTGTTTAATGTAACAAGTGTTTGACAATTTACTTGAGGAACTATTAAAAACAACCGTATGCCTACTCTTATTCACTTAAGGGTCTCTGACAGCAAAACTCGATGGAAAACGAGGGTTCCAATGGCGGTTTGTTTGTAAACCAAGCTTCGAACTCGACCACGTTTTGTCCCCGACTGCAACTTTTACTGCCAGCAGCAAACTATATATTAGGGCTCAAAAACTCATGATCTCATGCACTCATGATCCAATACCAGGCAGCACTGTAACTAATACATTTTATTTCCAGAATTCTTAATAATCGCGGAATTCATGGAACTAAGAGAAATACTTCTTCAATCTTATGTAGTCCATACAAATGACGTGGCTTGTTGTGATATGCGGTCAATAATCATTTCTGCTTATCGGAGAAATGAAGTTAATGTATCAACACCTTCATCTATATCGATGCAGTGCGATCTCGTAAAACCTTCGTTT